TCACGCCAAGGCGTTGGGATGGTGGGGGTTGTGTGTGTGGGGGGGGGGGGGGGGGGTGCGGGGGGGCAAAAATCCCCGACTGTTTGCGGGACACTGCCCCCGTGCACAATTGGTTGCTGAGTTTCTCCCCCAAAAATACACAGTCACTCCACTTTACAATATATTCTGCGAAGCGCTTTGAGACGTCTCAATGACGTGATAAGGCGCTGTGTCAAATGCCAGGATTGTCACATTAAAAAGAATATCAGGCTGAGACGCCACTGACAAAAGTCGTTTAAGATTGTTCTCTTCCCTTTTGGTTCCTTCTCTCCTAAGGAACCAAAAGGAAGGGAAGCCAAGTGAAAAAAAAAACATGGTGATGGAGATGGTGGTACATTAAACGCTTGGTTCAAGTGCTCGCCCACAACATACACAGTCATTCCACTTTACAGTAAATACATGAAAGTTGCCATAACAAACACGAGGATTATTATTTATTTTGACTGTATCCAGTTTACGACACAGGGAACATGTGTTACCTGCAAACCTGAGAACGGTGGGAAGTAATAACAACAACAACAATTGCACTGGTGCAGTGCTTTTCACCTTGGGAGGACGTACCAAATGATAAGTAACCCTCTCATTCGATATAGCGCGGTATCACATCATCAAAAGGGCTTCGCGGGATTCTCTGTAAAGTGCAGTGACTGTACGTGTAGGAAAACAGGTTCAAATTGTAGACGGAAAGAGATTTGTGCAGTTACGGATATTTAATATGCACACAGAGAATCCAGGTAATAGGAGACAACACCATATTAAAAAAAAGTTTGCGTGTGTGTGTGTCGTCGTTTTGAACAAGACAGTTTAAAATGGAGTCAATACAATCTCCATGCCATTCTCTGAGCAAAAGCACATCAAACAGATTCAGATTCATAAAAACTTCAAGGCAACAATTTTCCAAATAATCAATCATGGGAGCAAGCAGAAACGAACTTCAGGCAAAATTCCACAGCGGCCGTGAATGAGAGTCGCAACCCACGACTTAAAGAGGTCGACAGACTGTAGGTGGAAAGAATGTGCTGCTTAGAAAGGATTAAATTCTTTTAGATACGTACTTATTTCTTAAATGATATTTCTTCATTGAAGCCAAGACTATGAAACCAAACAAAATCAGGAGTAAACCTCCATTCACAAACACGGACTGAGACTGTAAACTTGGAACAGTTAATAATAATAATAGTAACCCTTGCATTTGATATAGCGTCTCACCACGTCTCAACGCGCTTCACAGACTATACTATGAAGTGGAGTGACTGTATTTTGTGGTGGAAATCTGTTGTGGTGATACCTGATCCAAATCTAGTTTAGCCTTTAAATGTTCTTTACCAGGTTGCAGCTTATTGACCGGCTATTAGCTTCGGAGTGCCACAGAACCACTGATGATCCGAAACCTTTCAATCGTTTCACCGGCTTCCCTTGTGTTCGTGTCTTGTGCTCTCGTGGTGAGTTGAAGCACCATTTGTCAAGGAGCTGTGCCTGTGTTCTGCTTTTGCAAGGGAGAGAGAGAGAGAGAGAGGCCTTTTATTTCTTGAACAACTTTGGAAACTAGATTACTGAATGGCTGTACACTGTGCATTGGTCCCCATCTGGTGGTGCATTTGTGGAACAGACACTTTGAGCTCAAGAGGTCTTACAGTTTAGGTTCAGGAAAGGATGTGCCACACATTTTCACCAAATCCCTATAAAAAAAACATTGTGATCCCAGCCTGGCAAGTGCTCCATTTCGAAATGCATTAAAATATTGTTTTTCCAAAGTACTGATAACAATACAATAAGTAACAATAATAATCCTTATATTTGATACAGCACCTTATCACGTCTTCACAGTATGTATTGTAAGGTGGATTGACTGTGCATTTTGTAGGCGAAATGCAGCTGCTAATTGCGCACAGCAGTGTTCCACAAGCAGACATGGATTGACTGACCAAATTATTATTTATTTATTTATTTTGGAAGGGATTATTATCCCCGGAAAAGCGATCGACCAACCAACTAACAACCGGGTTCCTACTTACTGCTCGGTAAACAGAGGCGCGTGGAGTAAGGAAACTTGCCCAACATTTCGCCCTGCCCGGGAATGGAACCCAAGTCCTCTCGCTTGCGAGGCCAGTGCTCTTACCACATTGTTGCTGATGCTATTCAGCTGTAATCTAATACTGGAATCTATTTCCTATTCATTCAAGGAAACCACACCCTTCGTGCTGCAGCCACTTCCCGAGAAGCAGACACCAAACGGCTAGTCAATCCTTCCTGACGCCCACCAGTCACTAATTTCCTCTTCCAATTTCCCCCCACCCCTCCTTTTATCTACTGCCTGTTACTTCTTCTGTCAAGGTTCACGGAAAGGAAATAATTGACGCATACTTGGTCCAGAAAGAAAATGCTTTATGAAATTGTTTTTAAATAATTGTGCATTTCTGCTTTGTGGTTGTTAAATTTCAGAATGCCCAACAATCGAAGCAAACACGACTGTTAGGAGAGGAGCAAAAGCTATGACCGTGAAGGAAAGCAGGTGATGAGGAGGTACAAGTGGTTTGAGATTCTGCAAGAAATTTAACTTGCCAGTTTATGCCGGCAAGTCTCTACCCGTCTCTAAAATGTCAGAAGGAATAAATGCAGCTCTTAGGATAGATCACCTTTGAGCAGATTTCAATTTGTATATATAATAATCCTTGCATTTTGATACTTCCCTTCCATGTCCAAACATCCCAAAACATTCAGTTTTCTGTAAAGTGGACGGATGGCATTTGTGGGTGAATCTGGGAGCCAAACACCCCACAAAGCCATGAAGTTTAGCCAACAAAATACACTTTCACTCCACTTTACAATATATCCTGTGAAGCGCTCTGAGATGTCTCGACGAGATAAGGCACTATAGAGCAAACGCAAACTTATTAATGAAGTGACTGAACGATTCTCTTTTTAAGATTTATGGGATCGTGGACCAGAAGAATGGGAGAAACTCCCTCGTCCTTCCAAGTGACGTCAAGGAATCTTTAACATTTAATGTAGTCAGAATCAACTGTTAAATTAAGAAAACTGCAGATTTTATACGGATATAGATTTTATACGTATATATATATATATAAACAATTATGTTTTTGTAAACATCTTATCCTGAAACAATTGGTAGTTTAGCACCTTCATGTGGTTAGGATATGCACTACACTGAATGGCGTGTTCATGTACCACAGAACCGGTTGGCTGGAGGCGATTCAGTAAAATTATAATTGATGTGCAGTGGAGTTCAACTAATGATGGTTTCACACAACAGCATATTCAACCAGAGGCTTTTTTTGGCCATGTATGAAGAACTGGTACCAAGTCAATTAAATATCAAAATGTACAAGAACTTTATAAACGCAGGCTGGTGCAGTTACATATAATGCCCGTTTGAAAGTATATTACCTCAAGATACGACATTTAGGTTCTCGCGTTTCCTGCGACACGCGGAAGTGTAGCTGCTCTCTCTCTCTCTCTCTCTCTTTCTCGTGGTGTGTTCTAGCAGATGGCAGTGAATAGGCATTAGGAACGAGACCTCTGGCTAATTTTAGTTCTTACTTCGCCAAGGAAAGAACTACCAAAGCAGGTTTAGAAATAAAATTTCTAAATTTTAAAATTTAAATTTAAATTCCTAATTTGGAAGCTGTTTTCCTGGAGTTTTTTTTAAACAGAACCAGTTTCCAAATGAAGTCAAACAATGTAATGCTTCTTCACATCTTAAAATGGGAGACAAAATAGCCTTATTTGCTAAGACTAAATGCAATTTCGGGGAGGTAATCGGAACCAAAAAGATGAGACAAGTTTAGTGTTGCCCCTGCTCTTTCCTGCCACGACATGGAGCAGCAATATCTCCGTACACATGTTCAGAGCAGCAATGCTTTCTCAATTCTTCTTCTGTTGCTTCGAAGGACTCGAATCTTGGGCATTTTGTGCTGATATTTCACATTAGCAACTCAACCTGTTTTTCCTCTTTGGAACCAATTCCAGAGCACCCAATGACGCAGGAGGTAAATGAACCTCCACGCATTGTTGCAGACACATATAGAACATGTGTCCCACGAGGTACTGCATCTGGTTTCAGCTGGGACAGGAGATTTGGTTTCACTGTCTCTGGGTTGGGGGAAGTCAACCATTGTGACAGGAGTGGATTCAACAAAAACTTGGGATTTATATAGTGCCCTCCACGCCGGACGGCGTCTCAGAGCGCTTCACAATAACGGATCCCGGGGGAGGGGGGGGCGGAAGGCGACCAAAGACGCGGTCAAAAAGAAAGGTCTTCAGCCGAGACCTGAAAATAGAGAGGGCGAGGCGAAGGGAGTGAGGAAGGGAGTCCCAGAGCCTCGGGGCGTAGCGGCTGAAGGCACGGCCGCCGAGGGTGGAGTGGAGGACTCGGGGGACGAGGAGGAGGCCAGACCCGGTGGCGCGAAGGCAACGGGTACTGTTGTGAGGAGAGAGGAGGTCAGAGAGGTCGGGAGGTGCAGAGGAGTGGAGGGAATTGAAGACAAGAGCGAGGATCTTGAAGTGGATCCTCTCTGGGCCAGGCAGCAGTGCGGTCTGGCGAGGACTGGGGGGGATCGGGGAGCGGAGTTTGATACGGGGATTCAGGAAGTGAATTCAAGCTATTTTTAAGTCTCCAGTTTGTGGGCATATAGGTTTTGCAATAAATGTCATTAGTCTCCGTCTTTATTTAACCAACCAAATACTGGGAGGGGAAAGCACTAGGGGTCAAATATCCCTCGACTGCAGTAAAGATAATATATTCATATGCTCTAATGTATTTAATGGGTGAAAAATTGTTCCAAGTATGTGTGTGGATTTATACAGAACAATTTGCAAACTAAAGTGAAGTGAAGAATCTCTGGTTATCATAATGTTGCAAATTTTCCCATTACTTACACAAGACATCTTAACCGACTCACTCAATCAACCACATCCACCAAAATGAAGAGTTCATTTTATATCAATAAGCCTGAGAAGATTTATTGCACAATTCATTTGCTACAAAAAACATCAGCAAATCTGTTTTTTAAAAAAAACATTTGTATAAAACTGCTAAAGCAAAGCAAACTTCACCTTTTGTCAGCTTTTTTTTTAGTAAAGCAAAACTCTCAACAAAATATTTGTACCAGCAGTTTTGGTATTTTAAGTAAAAAGCTGAAGGAGATAATAAATTCCTAGTCTAAACTACCATACCTAGAAAACTTCTACCAGATCACAACTTAATGTAGCCTACACCCTTTGGTTCCAAAAGCTTATTTGAATTGCTGCTTAATCCTTTTCCAGACATTCACCCAGCTGTCGCTCTCAGTTTGGGGAATGGGATTAGGTCTGAATAAATATATGGGACCAGAATAAGCAGAGTTCCCTTACAGCATCCTGGTTTCTGACAAACAGCGCACATTAACAGTTGGCAGTCTTAAAAACATTCCCATGAAGTTTAAGTTTTAGAAATGTCAACAACTTTTTTTTTTTTTAGTTCTTAAGTAGAGGATCTGCTGCTTTCAAATCCAAATATTTTCAGTCAAACCTAGTTCCAAAAAGGATGACAAAAATCTTGCGAAAATGATTCAAAAGTGTCAGAAGATTCATACGAGAAGGCAAGTCGAATTAGAATTAAAAATCCAAGCACACAGAAATTATTCGGCTTTGTTCTCGAGTTTCACAAGCACACTTGACACTTACGTGGGGGCAGGGAGAGGAAAGCAGATTTGTTTTACAAAATAATGGCACTGCCAGGGGCCTGGGAGAAAATTGCCTGGCCATCTTTTAATTTGGAGAAGACGGACAAGGAGAGAAATCTTAAACCAAATAACCCGACTGATGCTCAGGTATCACCTCTAAAGAAGCTGTCAGACAATCACTACCCACAACACATTTGTGGAGCTGTTCATAAGCTCAATGCTCCCTCCCTTCTGAAGGAAGTGTGGATGTGGAAGATAGTTATAAAGCTGTGAATGATACTATCAAAACTATAATTATAAAACGGAAGGAAAGGGTGGAGGGAAAAGAAGAATTTTCTGTCCAACCAGCTTTCCTCTGCACCCTATTTTTTTTATATCCTATTTTTAATGGTTGTTTGCACATCTCTACCAGATGAATAACCCAGATAGTTTTGTTGGTTGAGCACAGACTTGGAAGCAAGTGGGGCCCATTCAGCTCTTTTGCAATTGATACAAGTACAATTTCTAAACAATATACTGGGGAATGTAAGTGGAAAATGCAGAAATATCTTGAGTCGTGAATCAAAGTCTTAAATGGTTACGACCATCCTATACTGTGGTGTGTTATTACACTGAATAGTCTACTAAATAACCCTGTTTTAAACAAACTAGTTTATGGGATGATGTATACTTTCTAGAATGCCTTCATTGATCTTAATTTGGTGCTATCCAGCCTCCAGGCCAGGCCAAAGTGCCTGCTCCAATTATGACCCAAGGTTTCCATGCCATAGGTTATTGGAGGTCAGAGAAGATAGCAAAGATCTAAAATGGTACAAGGGATGTAAATACATAAAAATGAGGATCGTTACTGGGTAGTTTCCTTTTTTAAAAAAAATGTATTTTTTAAAAACAAATGTTTACACTCTTATGTCTTAGTATAATACACAGTACATAATGGATTACAGTACATAATGCATGGAAGATACATATATTATGGGTTTAGCAGAGCTCTGTACAGTAGGCCATTTCGATCCACTGGAATGGCTGTGACCATTTCTTGGGTGATTGGCTATAATAGCAGAGTGTTTTGCCATGGGCGGGGAAGAGGAATAAAGGAAAAAGAATTTATTAATGATATAAATGAAATGACAAGTCTTTTCTTCTTTAACTATAGCCGCTTAAAGTAAACTCTATGAAACGCCCTCAGTCAAACCTAATTCCAAATAAAATCTATAAGTACAGTATCGTAATTGAACCCCCACTGAAATTCAGCACTGTCTGAATTCAGTAAGAACATAATTATTCCAGTGGGATGATATGAGGCACACAACTTTTCTTCCACCATTCATAGATACTATTTAAAGCAGAAAATAAATAAAACAAAAGCCACCATTTTCCGGTAATAATAGCTATCTATACAATTAAAATATTGCACGATTAGCAGTATGTTTAGAGAAATTTTCATTTGAGTACAAGATTTTTGTAGATGACTTGCATTGTCACCAGAGAGATTCTACCAGATTGTGCATCAATAATCACAAGATGGGCAGTATTCGGCTACTTATAAAATCAAAATCTGACGATTCACAAGTGTCAAAGCCAAGCCTTTCTGCTATTATCATCTCTGATGTGGATCCAAATAGCCTAGTACCATATTTAACAATCCGTTTTGAATTTTTAAAAATTAAAGAGGAAGGAAAAATATTATGGGATGCTCTGTGTTCAACATACTCCTCTAGTTATACAAGAAATTAATGCAATCATTCATTAATTTTTTTAGCATCACTGGTGAAATATCCTTGACTATTGAAAATCGGCACAACCTGCCTCACCCTTAGTGATGTCAATTGTAAGGAGAACCACAACCATTCCACCTACTTCACCTCGGGGTCTAGTACTTTGAAATGAGTATAAGTTAAGTTGGAGATGCTAAACTCAATACCAGATAATAATCAAGTCTCCAGTTTCTAAGGCATTTTCTTAAGATTAGTTCCTAGATGAAACCAAAGTAGCCTTTATTAACGTGAAGAGTGACATGGATGCCAGGCTTTTCATCCTCTAACAGTTCTTTAGGTACTAGTTGAACAAGAGGTGTATTTTGTCAATGTTTAATAGTCAATGATATTTTACCATAGGAAAAAAAATAGAACACAGTTTGAGGAGTACTTTGAACCAAAAATAATCCCTTGAATTTTTTTCCCCTTCAAGTAAAATTGTTCTACATTTTCACATATTGCAGCATGCTACTCAAATATTGTCAGCTCCCAGTATGGCACTCTGACAACAGCACACCGCTCAATTAAAGGAATTAAATGTCATAGCTTTGTTCTCACAACACAATATGGAATTATCAGCAGTTTCAACATGGAACAAAAAAAGGACATAACCATGCAGATTTCCAGATATATGTCAGTACATCCACTTAGAAAGTTGTATCCTGATAACGCTTCTGGCTGGCCAACTAATTATTGTGGTTTACTATCACTATGTAGGGGAAGGAGAGAACAGTGTTTTACACATTGTGACGTAATCAGTACATTATAATTCTGTGCCATCTCTACTTTTTAATGACAAGGTGAACAGAGTCCATCAAGTTCTTGTGCACAATGTATCCACTGCAGACCCATATTTCTTAAGGCTTGAAGCAAATTGTTTGTTCTGATCAGTCAAGTAATAAATTTGTTGGTTTGGGGTACCCAAACAGAGCAAAGTCAGGCTTATAGAGTTCAAACAGTTTCCTCCTCCAAATTTTTGGAATTTCTGAAAACCAGTTTCTTTCCCAGCTGCTAACTGTCCGGTTTCGGAAACTAGGTGGAAATTGAACAAGCTTCTCCACATTTAACAAACTAAGTAAATATTTGGCATCCTGCTCCAAACTCTCTAATTTCCCAATAAAATCATAATTTATTTGACAAGGGTGACAGAGTCTATATACTTGTCGCCAGTGTTCATTGAAAGGCATAATCATCTCAGTCCGCAAGTCCAACAAATATTGAATGAAATTAGAAAAGGTAGGTTTGATTCCTGCAGAGAAAGCTTTACTAACAGAAGGTGGAGGCTGAGAGCAATTAGCGTACAATTGAAGCATCGGAATAGCAAAGCGCTTGTAAAAGTCTTCATTCTGAATTTCAAACTTGCTGCGAAATGCAGAAATCAGTCTTACAAAAGGATCACGCACAAAGAGAAACTTGGTGTACTTTTTTAGCTTGACCTTCATGAGGTGTTTGGAGAATTTCCCATAGCGCTTCCAAAACTTGTTGAAGGTGACATGACTGCTGGAGTTGTGCACAAGGTCCCTGGGGATCTCCAGTGGATCATGGTATGGAGTGCCTTGATTCACAAGACTTTCACTCAACAAGATCATGATTCGTTTCCAGTTAGTGCAAGCCACTTTGGGAACGTAGCAGTAGATTATACCATGCCGATCATCCACAATCAGGTGGTCCAATTCTTTATTTGGAATATCCTCAAAAGCTCGATTTTTCCCTGAGAACGTGAAGCTGGAGTCTGCACAAAGATCACGGATGGTTTGTTTCCTCTTTAACTGTTCTAATTTAATGTTAGGTTCCTCAGTATTGGTTCCCCAGTCAACGTCCTGCAGATGCTCTTTAGAATTAGCTACAGGTTTGCTGTCCACATTTTCCCCCTCAACAACAGAGGCCCCTTCCCCTTGATGTCCCGTTTCTCCATGTGTCAGTTCAAGATTAATAAAGGAAGTAGCCGTTTCCGAACTGAGCATTTTCTTTTCAGTTCCCTTTGCATGTTCGTGTGCTACAGACACGCTTGTAGGAAGATGCGTGGATTGGATTTTTGTGAAGGCGGTGTGCAGGTAGAAATGAGCTGTTCCTACATCATCCCAATAAAATATTATCAGTAAAATCATAAAAATAGAGAGCATGATGCCACACATCTGGAAGATTCGAGATTTACTCATTTTGCGAAGGTGCATTCCTGCCCCTGCCTCAGGCGTCATGTCAGGGCTCTTTTGGGTGCTCATCTACGTAGAATCATATTGAAACAAGTGTTGAAGGATCCTGAAACAAAGAGCAGAAAACTATTCTTAATGAGTTAAGTATTAAATCTATTTATTAAAGAGACTTAAGAGTTCGCATAAATTAGATTTTTTCCCTCTAAAATTAAAACAAATTATTGTCACCAATTCCAGTTTAAGCACCAAATTAAATTTCAGGAAACCTACCTAAACCCTGATGTCATGAATCTCCAATAACTTTTTTGCTGGTCTCCATAGTGCATTGTTATGTTATAAAGGTCCTATGGAAATAGATTTGGGCAATGCCAACTTTATTTCAATTAGGGGGTTTCAATTCTATAAACAAGAATCTGCCCAAACTTGCAACCTAAGAGACAAATGCTATTATGACTCTGTTTTTAAAAAACTAATACATGCTATTTTAAGTTATGTCAGCTCACTGAAGCACAGTAAAAGGTGCAGTAGTGTGTATTCAGCATTCAGAATTAAAAAGGTGCATTCAATTATTTATATCAACATTCTTGATTCTGTCAACTCCAAAAACGCTCATTTAATGCAGAGTAGAAGCCAACCCAAATTACAATATTAAGTTTGCAGTACTCTACATTAAGCTTTCAAGTAAATTTACAGAAAAAAATCCAGTCAAGCCTCACAGAACTGTTTGACTTATAAATGAGGCAATTTATAATGTTTAAAACCAAATGTCTGACAACAAAAGCCTACTGTATATATTAAACCAAAATTGAATCGGAAGATAAAGTGAACATTAATAGGGCAACAACTAGAATAATTTATCAAAAAAAGTAATTTTTTGATAAACAGTAACTGCACCCTAGTGCGATTTACTACATAAAAGATATGCTCAAAATATTAGAGCCTGTGCTATACTGGACTTCAACTTAAAACAGCTAAACTTGCAGACGGTTGTCAGCAAATACAGACTCATTCCACTGCCAAAATTATTCAGGAGGTGTTTTTGTTAGGAACAAATGTGTCACTTTCAGCCTGCCAACTATTCCACATTGCATATCTTCCACATAGTCACAACCTGAATACATGCCCAAAGTGAAATAAAAGTAAATGGAAGCTTTGGATATCGCATTACATATTTAACGCATCAGCAACATTTCTGCATTAAATAAATACATACTCTATTGCAATGGTGGCCAACCTTTTGCTAAGGTGTGCCACAGTGTGAGCTCAAGACTTATCATCATACTACTAAAAAAATGATAACATTAAGAAGAAAAATATTGGAAAATAATAATTATTATTGGACCACACATACATATTTGGAACCGTCAGTCTGGTTTGGATAATCGTAAGCATGACAATAATAATAATCCTTGCATTTGATATAGTGCCTTATCACATCTCAAAGCGCTACACAGAATATACTGTAAAGTGAATTGACTGTGTATTTTGTGAGCGAAATTGGATGTCCCAGTAAAACCCTCAGATCCAAAGGTTAGTGTGGAACCACCAAGTGGCAGACGAACATCTGATGTTGATCCAACCTGCTGTGGATTTTGAACATCTGCAGCACGTTCTTCCTAAACTTTTACTGAGGGAACCCAACTAGAGATTTGAAGACAACCCAAGTGTTTCCCTTTAAAACCAAAACTTTAAAGTGAGCAAACTCTACCCACTCACATGACTAATCTCAGCAGAGCGACTTGCAATTCCATATAAGGATCAAAGATTCAAGTAATCTTGGTTTATCTTTTTTGTTGTTGATCGATTTAATGTGACTTTACTTTGATTCGACCAACTGCTGCATTGGGAGACACCTAATTGTACCATGGCCTCCACTGCTCTATTGAACATTTGACCAATCATAATCAAACATAATCTGCAGATCTTTTGACAGACAGCCCTACACATTGGTAGTTACATGATTGCAAATACTTAAAATGACTTGATTTTAGAATTCGCTTTGTGGTTTCGAAGCACTTTTTTAAAAATCGTGCAAGCTGGAAAACCAAATCTTTAAAAACTTTAATTTGAAAAAGTATACAGCATTTTTAATTCACAGTACCTTTGAAACCAAACAAAAATTTCAACCAGGATAGATTCATATTCTAAGGAAGTGAACATTATCAAGGTCTAATGATCATTCACAAAAGTAAAAAAAAATGCATTTAAAAAACTAAATGGTTGGCAGCTTCTAGTGGCATTTCCAAATTCCAAGGATTATACACTGCCACAGAATACATACAGGATATCTCAGCAGGAAACAGTGAATAATGGTGATCTTTCATCAAGACCCACCTCTTGAATACCACACGTGCAAAGCAAGTTAAACAGAGTCTTTCAGACAAACGAAAGAAGAACAGTATTTGGTTTTCCCTATTTAACATTTTTTTATTAGTTTATTTTTGAAATCTTACCATGGATGACAATAAAGAAACACATAAATATAAGAGAATGTGCTTCGTTTTCCTTTCAGTGGCACAACTTCTCTTAACGTCCAATTTCATCACACTACTTCACTTTTTAAATACTTTTTTAAAAGTATTATTCCATTAGTTTCCCTCTCTTTGCTCTCATCTTACAGAAAGAAATGTTTTCTAAAACTGAAGTTTCAGAAGCAGAGAGTGGATTATAAAATGTTGAGAATTCAAAGGCAGGAACAAACAGTTCATCATATTTACCCAAGTCCCAATCGACTAACAACCAGGTTCCTACTTACTGTTAGGTAAACAGAGGTGTGTGGAGTAAGGAAATGTTTCGTCCAGGAATCAAACCCAGATTCGCTCATTTGTGAGGGGAGATCTCTAACCAATATGTTACAGGATTCCACGAAAGTCCTCTCTAAGACTGTAGTGTATCGAAGGAGTACGAGCTAACCTGTTGTCTTGAATATAGGACAAAATGAACTCAGGACACTACAATGATCAGCCCAAAACAATGAACAACAGATGTTCAAGCCATCTTAAAGACCATAGCATGATCCACACATCTTGAACTGATATTTATTCTTCCATTGAATTTTCTTTGGCTAAATTTCAAACTGATCAAAATCCCATCTGGATAGCACATGGTTTTATTCCAACAGATAAAAAAAATCTCTAATCCAGAAATACAGTATTTACATTGATGTAACAGCTTTCTAGCTGGCATTTAACCACTGACTTAAAGGATTCTCATATCTAAACAGTGGAAAGAAAGTCTGCACAGAAGTGAAGTCAGGAAACTATAGTCTATTGCTGCACTGTCAACTGTACTCCCTTCCTTGAGTTGACAGTACTGCGTTTGGCTACAAAATCCACATTCACTACACTTTAGAATATATCCAATGCAGCACTTTGAGGGGTCCTCCCGACACAAAAGGTGGTATGTCAAACAAAGATCATTGTTAGCTTAAAGTTCTTTTGCATAATTATGCAAATGCCATAATCATTTTGTGTGTGTGGCACAAGGTTTTGTTCCAATGTTTATAAAGTCTGGAAATTAGAGGTCATTTTAGGGAACTGGTTAAATGAACTCCAAGCCACTAGAAATTGGACTTTTAAAACAGCTGTGCTTCTTTAGATACTTACACATATTAGGGAACCTTGCCATCTCTCCAGGGGTTACACTGAACCCTCATATCCCTGATGTTCACACATTCTCTTTATATTGTTTAGTCAATGTTTTCTGCAATACCATTTTGTACAGGTTATACAGAAAAGTGTGTTACTGTACAAGGGAAAAAAAAATTATTTCAAGGAATGTGTTAGGGAATAGTTTTTTTGCCTTTCACGTCAATATTACATACAGTATTTGAGCATGCATGTCTTTAAGCTGAGATTTACAAAATCTGAAAATTATCCAAATGTAATAAGAATACTGTGAAAATAATGTGAAACAGAACAGGTTCATCTGGAAAATATTTACAGCTGTAGGATTTCACCTCTTCACCACATAATAAATATTTAAAGAACAGATTTACAGAATATTTGAATGATGCAACCTTCATGGAAGGAAGGAATGTATAAACACTTAGAAAAAGAAACATTATTAGAGGAATGAAAGGAGAATTTTAAAAAAAATTACTGTAGGAATGACGTGGGGGGNCAGAGGCGTATAAAAAGTATCAGCCACTTTAGAGGCATTACAGGGTATGGAAAACAGTGGGAAGGACTGTCCCAATCCCAAAGTGCTTCACAGGATATACTGTAAAGTTGAGTTACTGTGCGTCTTGTGGGCAAACGCAAAAGCCAATTTGTGCACTACAATGTCCCACAAACAGCTATGAAGTGAATGACAATTTTGTTTAATCTTGGAAGGTTGTTGGCCAGGACATCAGAAACGCCCTTCTTTTTTCGACTAGTGCCATAGTATCTTTAATGTACCAAAGTACATTAGTGGAGTCCTGTAGCTCAGTGGTTAGAGCACTCGCTTTGCAAGTGAGAGACCTGAGTTCAATTCCAGGCAGAGGGCGAAACCTTGGGCAAGTTTCCTTACTCCACACAGAGCCTAATAATAATCCTCCAAAACCAAAAACAATAATAAATTGGTCATTTTCAATCTACGACTGTTTGTGGGACCTTGCTGTGCGCCATTGGCTGCCGCGTTTCGCCCACAAATATACAGTCAATTTACTTTACAGTGTGTTCTGTGAAGCGCTTTGGGATGTCCTCCCGACGTGAAAAGCGCTATATCAAATGCAAGGATTATTATTATTAAAGTAGTCATAAAAGATGTTTTCTCCATCAATGGTTTATTTTAAGTTCACTCCAGAGTAGCCTATTAACATTCCAGTAAAATTTAACTGCCCAATACAAAATGAGGTCAGCAGCCATGGATTTAGTTTCAGGATGGAACCATTAAATAAAAATACTTCATAGAGACTTTTTTCTGACAATATATAAGGAACTACTTGCACCTTTTGATGTCTCAGATTGTTTTAATATAAACAAGTTATTTTCCAGTGCCTACAGCAAATAATGATCATTTTCAAGCACAGTAAAACATTCTAAAACAAATCTTTATTCTATTGGTTATCAATATATTGCAGTGAATTGCCTTGAGCAGAAAGGGAAAGTAAACAACTTGCAAAAGATCTTTGACTAATTCTGATAATGGCACTATTTCACAAAAACATATCAGTTTCTGTCCCGATACTGGAAAATGCTCACAGACCACACTTTATTAGGATTTTCAATGAATTCTTTGCTTTATTAGCAACACTGCAGCATTGCTACCTCTTGTAATTTCGTTCTCCCCTCTTAAGAAAATAAGGAATTTTTTACTCAGCAAGTCCTTTTTCTGGCAACTATGCAGCAAAGAGGAGTCATGTCATAATTATGGTCAATTATCCTCAGATGTCATTGCCCAATTATCCGCAATGATATCTGAGGAGGACGTGGTCATAAAGAAAATCAAACTCCAAAAGCTCATGGTTCACCACCAAAATATGTGAGCTTGAATACCAATTTTCCGCACCAACTCCCTATCAATGTTTTCTGTGCATCCATGCAGAAAATGTAGCTACTGTTGTTCTTGTAATTTGTACTTAATAATCTTTGCATCGGATATTGCGCCCATCACGTCGGGACGACATCTAGTCCATGTTTCACAAAAGGTATAAATGAATATGCACTGAAAATTGAATATCAGGTCCACACCCTCACCTATAAATCCATTCACACTTCAATACCTCCCTAACGCTCTTACCTTCTCCTACCCCACTACTCTGCACCCACCCTCAGTTAACTGGTCCTTCTTCGCGTTCCTTGCCCCCATTGTGTCACCATCATTGACTGACTCTTCGGTTAGTACACCTTTATCCTCTGGAACTGTGCAGTGAGGGTAATGCTTCATGCAAATTGGTATATTTGAGCAAATATATATATATACACACACACACAATCATTATAGACATTTTCAGGTACAGTATTATTTGTATAACATTTGTTTACGTTGCAGCCAACCAGTGGTATCTTAAATGGCCCTTACGGCCAGATGAGTTGATATTCCTGTCCTATATGAAGAGTGCTATACAAGTGCAAGCTGTTGGTAGTTCATACATAGAATCATAGAGTCGTACAGCACAAAAAGAGGCCATTCAGCCCATAATCTTCCTCTGGTTCAAATTGGACAAAAATGAATGCTTGCTGCCCAGATTTCTGGTGAAGGAAGACTGGGAGCCAAAAACTCACCAATAAATGTCTACATTGTAAGAAGGAACTTCTTTTTGAAAAAAACCAAGTGCAGCTTTCCATTTAGAATAAAAAAATTGCATCTCAAACTTTTTTTAAAAAACATTTGTGGGATTTTTTCCCCTCTCCTAAACACACCTATGGTGAAGTTTACAGATATTGCAACCCAAGTTCAAAGAAACTACCTTTTTTTTCCACAAATAAAAAATTTGAAAATGTCAACTGTGGAAGTACTGTACTGTTTCGTAATGTCCTTTCCAGCTTTTACATTTGCCACTGGCCACAAAGTGAGATAAAGTCAAGCGAAAAGTTTCCTGCAATTATATCTTGCATTTGATATAGTGCCTAATCGTGTTTTAGAGATGTCGCAAAGCACTTTCTTCACAGGATACACTATAAAGTGAATGGACTGTACATTCTGTGGGCGAAAATAATTGTAGGAGAGAGAGACAAACTTCCTTTTTTTCTACATTGGTGCCAAGAGGAACTGCCTTTTTTTTTTGTTGTTTCCACTTTAAAATCTTTTCAGAACGGTTCAAATCTGAGGGTTAAGGTTAATGAGCTTGGAAACAATGTCATGGTATCTCAAAAGTTTGAACTAAAAACCCTCCAAATGCACCCACTTTCTCTCTTCCCCTCCCCTCTCAGGGAGATCCTTGTTCACAATGTCTCACTTCATCTCCTAGTTCGCCTGCCCTACTTTAAAATTTTCCATTGCGCTAACTCACTCCCTCCTTCTCCCTCACAAACTCCCTCCCTCCCTCCCAAACACACTCCCTCCCAAACTCCCTCCCTCCCAAACACACTCCCTCCCAAACACACTCACTCCAAAACACACTCACTCTCACGAACGCACTCACTCACTCTCAAACACACTCACTCCCAAACACACTCATTCACTCCCAAACACTCACTCACAAACACATTCACTCACTCACTCACTCCCAAACACACTCACTCACTCATTCACAAACACATTCACTCACTCATTCACAAACACACTCACTCCCTCACTCCCAAACACACTCACTCACTCCCAAACACTCACTCACTCCCAAACACACTCACTCACTCCCAAACACACTCACTCACTCCCAAACACACTCACTCACTCCCAAACACACTCACTCACTCCCAAACACTCACTCACTCCCAAACACTCACTCACTCCCAAACACTCACTCACTCCCAAACACACTCACCTCTCACAAACACTCACTCACAAACTCACTCCCAGACACAGTCACTCACTCCCAAACACTCACCCTCTCACAAACACACTCAATCACTCTCTCACAAACACACTCACCTCTCACAAACACTCACTCACAAACTCACTCACTCACACACTCATTCACTCACTCCCAAACACACTCACTCACTCACTCACAAACCAACTAATTCACAAACTCACTCACTAAAGTCACTCAGTAACGATGCCCTCCGCCCCTCACAGACTCACCTCCTTCCTTTTACTCCGGGGGGGGGGTGAAGCCTCTTGTGTTTTGGCGCCTCCCCTCCACTCCCTCCCCTCCGGCCCGGGGTGGCTTCAGCCTCCGCCCTCGGGGCTTCTCTCCCTCTCTGAGGAGGGGCTTTACTTCGGGTACCTTCAAGTAACAGGAAGGCAGAGAGAGAGGAGAGAGGAAGGAGTGAGAGAGAGAAAGTGGGGGAGGGAGGGAGGGAGGGAGGGAGAGAGGGGGGGTAGAGGGAGGTCTGGAGGGAGGGAGTGTGAGGAAAAGAGGGAGTGAGGGAGGAGAGAGAGAGAGGGAGGGCTGGAGGGAGGGAGTGTGAGGAAAAGAGGGAGTGAGGGAGGAGAGAGGGAGGGAGGGCTGGAGGGAGGGAGTGTGAGGAAAGGAGGGAGTGAGGGAGGAGAGAGAGAGGAGAGGAGGGAGGGAGGGAGGGAGTGTGAGGAAAGGAGGGAGTGAGGGAGGAGAGAGAGGGAGGGAGGAAGAGACAGATTCGTTGGGCGGTGCTGATGTCGATATGAATGTCGGTGGAGAGATGGATGGATGGAGAGAGAGAGAGACAGAGGGGGGGGAGGGAGAGAGTGAGTGAGTGAGGAGTGAGGAGAGAGTGAGTGAGTGAGTGAGGAGAGAGTGAGTGAGTGAGGAGGAGGAGGAGGGGGGGAGAGAGATGAGTGAGTGAATGAGAGAGGGAGAGAGAGAGGAGGGGGGGTGGAGGGGGGGGGGAACCGGCGAGAGAGTGTGAGGTAAATGAGGGGAGGGAGAGGGGGAGAGGGGGGGGGGAAGGACCAGCCTTAACCGCCGCCGCGCCTCGTGCCCATGTTCACAGCCACTCGACTGCCGCTCGAGCCGCCGCCACCGCCGCCGCTGGTGCTGCCGTCCGGGCAACGGTGCCACATCGCCGCCGCGCTGCTCGCCGCGCGCAACCTCCCCCCTCCCCCCCTCCCTCCCTCACACACACACACACACACACACACAGACAGACGGACAACACAGAGCGAGCGCGAGGGGCGGGACACCACACG